TTTCAATTTTTTTAAAAACGTGTAATACATCAGGAATATTTCTGAAATATTTCATTGTAATACGTAATAATTCCACTATATTGCAATATTACTGCAATATTTCTGCAATATTGTGCTGTGTGGGATATTATATATCCAATTCAAAATTTTATTACTCTTTTTAAACTGAATTTGTTTTTTAAGATGATTTTTGAAAAATTATATATTTGCGCTGGTTATGAAACATGTAGATTACATAACACTTACTACATTAAATTAAGAAGTAGTCTATCACGTAAGGCAGTTGGCTCACGATCCAGAGGTCCCGATTTCGAATCCCACCAAGGTAAGTGTTTTTTTTAAATACGAGTAGAAAATATTTATAATCATAGACTGTATCTTAAGAAACAAATTTAGTTAAAAAATAGTAATAAAATTTCGAAATAAATAATTTTTTTTGTCGGGTGAATATTTGTTCATTATGGTTGTAACATCCATATATTATGGTTGCAACATCCATATAGTAGCTACCCTCACTAAGTTTAGGGCAACCATATAGGTCACTTCCAGAGTACTATGGTTTCCATAACCCTTTTGTATGGATGGGTGAAAATTAACAGTATTATTCTGTTGTAGCAACCGTAACTTTTTCTCCGTGTATGTATACGCGTTCAAATGTATAGTGTATACTATACACTTTTTCTTTATAAATATTATAATATTTAATTATTAAAATAATAATTACATATATTATCACAATCCTACTATTACAATAATATTGTAGTGTTCGAAACCGAAAATCGAAACTTGGCTTAGAGTCCGACCAAAACTACAGGTTGTGATAATAGGATTGTAATCAGAGAATTGTGTGATAATGTGTGTAATTATTATTTTAATAATTAAATATTATAATATTTATAAAGAAAAAGTGTATAGTATACGTGTAAGCGCGTATACATATAGCTTTTCTAAGGTTTCCATGAAAGTTTCGGTTTCGATTTCGGTTGGACTCTTGTAAAATATTAAATATTAAATAACTAGCCGGGCTTCGCCCGGGAGGTCGTTTTTCTTCAAACTTCATTTGTGTTTCAATATCCTTAATCCAAAAAAATTTTTTTATCAGGCAGTGGCTCATTAGGCAATTGCAAAGAATCCTTTATATTTATTTTTATTCAAATTTTATTATATTTATTTATTATTAATGAAATTATAATATTTAAAATTGCACAATATATTTTTTATTCAATATAATTATATTAAATAATTGTATAATTATTATAAAACTAGCTGGTTACCCGGGCTTCGCCCCGGAGGACATATGTAATAAGACACGCAAATAGATGATAGCATTCCCAGTAAGCAAAAAATCATTATTACAATGTTATTGCAACGATATTCTAAAACTTGTAATGTTGTTAAATATGTAGTTCTTAATGTTGTATAGAACATCATTATGAATATACTTTGACCACGATTCCGAAATTTCAGTAATGTTGAAATGGGAGTGCCATAACGTTGCAAATAACATTTTGCTAAGGTTTTTCTATCATTCCTGTAACGTTTTTGAGATAAAAATTTAAACGAACTATCAACTTTATTACAATATTATATTAAGATTACCGTAATATTAATTCTAACGTTTATTTAAAATTATTATTGATATTTTATTTTTATTTCAGGGAATATGTATTTATTTTCAATAAAATGCATTACACTAATTACCATAAAAAAGTAGTTTTATTTATATGAACAAATATATACATATACATATACATATATAGGTTTTATTATGAGATTTATTTCGTGTGCCAATTATTTCTGCAAATTATCTCTGCCAATTATCTCAGAAAGTATTAATTCTAGGAA